TGCTCTGCCTACCCATTACAGCGCGCCGTTCCACTTGCAGTATGAAGAACCTCGCAGCCTTGTTTGTCTTCCGTACGGTTAGACCGCCATGGGAGCGTTGCTGGATTTGTCCTTGTTCTCCTTATCCTCCGCCTGCTCTTCCTTCTTGTCCTTTGCGTAGGCTTTCTCGTTGTCCCCCTCCTCGACCTCCCCGATCGTCCTCTTACTCGTCCCCGACAGGCCGTCCGCGCGTTTGTTCCCAAGTGTGTTACGCGCCGTCTTTCCACGCCTCTCCCGTCCTTTGCATTGCGCTATCCTTTCAGCGCAGTGCTTGTCATTGCCGACCTCGACTGGCGTGGGTGGCTTAAACCTCAGCGAGGTGCCCCTTGCATGGACTTCGACGACGCTCCTGCTGAGCACATTGGACTCCGTTTCCCCTCGTTCTCCGGTCCGTGGCACGCTCTCGTCCTTGCTGATGTTCGTCCCCATGGTGTTTCTCGACCTCCTCATTCTCCATCCTTTTCTTGCCTCCTGCTCTCCTTGATCCGTCGGCCCCCTCTTCTCGTTCGCGAAGCTTCAGGCTATCAGTCTGCAGAATCGCGGCGCAGAATCAGCGTCCGACTAACCCCTCCGATCTCTTCCACAGGGCCTGGCGAATCGCAAACAGCATGCTCGACGCGTCTAGCGTGAGCCCTTGGGCAATCCTTCAGGCCGGCTTTCGCTCGAATGACTTCGAGCATTGCCCGCGGGGTGCTCCGCACCGACAAGCCCAGGGGATGCCTGGCAGGTGCGGGGCGATGACCTGCTGGAGGCTTGCATTTTCGGCCCGCGGCCCAAGCAGACTCGAATCAGAACCCCGTCCCCCGCTGGGGCAGACCACAGCGGTGAGCTCGAGGGTGCCCCGACACCGTGCCGCGAGCTCCGGCGGGTGCGTGCGTCTCGGGCCGCCGCTCTCGCGGGCCGCCTCGCGGCGCACCTCGCCGCCGACGCTGCTGGCCCGCTTCCTCGCCTGCAGCGGCACCGCCCGCCGCCCCCACGGGCAGGCAAACACCTTGCAGTCGCCGGCGGTCCGCTGGCGCGCAAGACGCGGCTGGAGCAGACGAGGCGGGAGCAAAGACGACGGCGAGAGGAGAGGGCACGTGGACGCATCAGGGCGCGGCGTGCGTGGATCACACAGCGCGGAGGCATTTTTTGCGAGCAACCATGGTGAAAGCGCTCAGCAGCAAGATGCGAAGACTGTGCATCCACGCGTTGTCCTGCCCAGCTACGCGTCGGAGTTTAGACGACACTCGTGCGATGAACTAGCCAGGCGGCTGGTGAAGCGTGCTGACTCAGGTATACGGACACTGTCGCAAAACATGTAGACAACGAGCGGCGCCGACAGGCGCCGGTACAGCGGTGCGGGCTCTGCATGCCACGCTGCGCATCTCGATGGATTGCCACGTCCTGGTTGCTGGTCCCCGCCACCCTCGTACCCCCACGAGGCGGCCCGCTCGCTGTTCGAGCTGGCGATCCTCCTAGCGGCGCTCCCGCTTCGAGGCAGGCTCTCCAAAACGACGTCCGCCTCCTTTCGCCGACTCATCGGCATGCCAATTGTCGTTGTGGCCGCGTGTCGAAGTGCCGTCCTCGAGGGCCGCCTCGTCGCCGAGATGAGTCTATGGACCCTCCGTGGCCCCTCGCAGAGGCCAGAAGCCCGGAGCCCGCCGAACGCCCCGAGCAGAAGCCGAGGCCGCTCGGAGGTGTCCCCCCACCTTCACGCTGTGTGTACGATGGTGCAGGCCTGGCCAGTGGCAACACCCTTAGTGGGCCCTGGAAACGACAGGGCCGTTTTTTATCGGGTTCCGCTTTGCCGTTTTTTGCCTGTTCTGACGCCGTTTTTTTACCGGTTCCGTCGCCATCTTTTGACCGGTTCTGGCTCCGGCTCCAATCCTGGAGCCGTCTTTTTGCCGTTTCCGGTCGCCGTTTTTTTGCCGATTCCATTTTCAAGGGACATGTTTTTGGAAACGATGAAAAACGGCCCTGCCGTTTCCGGGGCCCACTAAGGCAACACTTGCATAGCTCTACCTCTCACCTCAGTGTGCGCTGCGCTTCAGGCGCACGCGCCTCCGGGGGACATCCCGACCCATAGTGCCGGCGCTGTCCCCCGAGGGGTGGGCATATGCAAACAGGTTTTCTGGTACGATCATCCCTTGCCTCACGCGGTGCCATGCACTGCGCGGTGCGCTCTCGCGGCAGCAGGCTCGAAGAGTCGAGCCAGTCCCAGCCTCGTTCGGGGGGAAGGCTGGAGGTTACAGCCGGCACATGGCATGCAGTGCAGTCAGGTCCTGGTCGTGTACGGGACCAGGGAGACAACCCTAAACGACGGCCGAGGGGTTCCAATCTTGGAAACGTCTCTATCTACGGCCCAACTTGCCGACCGTGCACTTGCCGAGGTGCCCTTCCCTTTTGCTAGAGGGTTCCACGCCGAGTTCCATCCTTGACCGACCGCCCGTGCCAGGGAGTATCTTCCATCGTCACGTTATCCTAGAAATTGGACCCCACACGAATCCCAGGTCAGGTCTTAACGAAGCTCGAACGAGCGAGTGCCAGAAGAAGCCCAGAATGATGCGATCATCGAGGACCTTCTCGATGTTCGCATTCATCCTGCCCCCCCGCAGCGGCAGGACAAGGAGGAAGAGGAGAAAACGGAGAGGAGGAATGAGGGAGGGGCCAGGAGTGAAGCACTGCTAAATGAGCTCCTCAGCCAAGCAGACATAGAGTCGCGCGGTTACCACACGAAGAAACGAGCAAGGTTTCTGCCCACCACCTCCCCTGTGACAGATCGATCATGCTACCAACCTGCCACACGTGCCACATTCTTGAACATCACATGTCGGCTGGGCCTGTCTTCTTGCTGAGGTGGCAGCAGCACTGGAGATGTGGGAGTTGAGAATTGCAGTGTGGGGGCCGTGGAGTCGCAGGATCTTTTCACACCCGCTTCTGCAGGACCTCCCAGCTTTGCCGACGGGCGCCCTCCTTGGGCAGCGTCCGTGCGCTTCGTTGTGCATCCACCTCTTCTCTCCTTCGTCCGCGTGCCGTTGCATTGGCACAGCAGCGCCGCCCGATCGCAGGGAGAGCAGTGAGGTCAGGGACGGGGAGCGAGAGCTCCGCGGCAAAGCTGACGAGCACGCGGGTTACTCTAGAGCTCCACGGTCTCACAAGGTCTCGTTTCCTCCGTGTCCTCGTCCCCGCCTGCCTTCCGTATCCGCGTGGTCTCAAGTCGCGGCCAGGACCCAGTTTGGTCCGTGCTACTTTTCCACGGTGGCTCGCCTGGAGACCAGCCTTTCGATACGACACGTCGCGTGACGGTCTGGTTGCTTGGGCCGCTGCCGTGTTGGAGGCTGGCAAGCCACGTGGGATATTCACTTGGCCCTCGGGCGAAGGGCTTCGAATGCTTCGAGCGTTTGAAGGATGATACGTTGAACTCCTATGGTGTACACAGGCGACGTGGCAGGCCAAGGATTATGGTCCGCTTCGTGTCTACCTTCCGTGCACTAACACGTAAGTGCATCTTCGTTTGCTTCATGGCGTCTGTTGCCAATTGGGATGAGGTGCTCGCCCGTTTCAAAGCAACGGTTGGGCGCATAGATGCTGGCCCTTCGGCCATGCATCTTCGAGCCCAAAGGCGCCCCCCGCGCATGGCGCGCCGGGTTGCCCCCTGCGTGGCGGCGGGGAGAGGGTCGCGTGCAGAGGTGGTTGCGGGCGCCGCCGACTGCGGTGTCCCGCTCGCAGCGGCCTTGTAGCAGAGGCATGGTTTGTTGTGCCTCCGATTCAGGGCCGCAGCGGGTTGGGGAGGGCATGGACCTGAGCCAGGGCCCCCGGAACCGCCACCAGAGAAACGGTGCATCATCGTCATTTCTTCCTCTTTTTCCTGCCGTCGCACCGCTACTTGGGTCCATCGAGGATGCGCGGCCGTGACACAACACGTAAGTGTACCCTTCTTGGCCTCCCGACGTCTGCGGCTATTGGGGTCCAGGCGCGCGGCCGTTTCAAACAACCCATCCACCACCCTGGGACATCAAGTCCCTGGGAGCGGCAAGGACCCTGAGCCAAGGCCCCTGGAACCGCCACCCGACAAAAGGGGGCATCATTGTCTCCTCCTCCGTTCTTCCGCCATCGCACCGCCATTGGGGTTCATCGAGGATACAGCACCACGTTCTGATCTCGATACGCAGCCGACCGAATGTGGCAATACCCGCGCTGCCAAACTGGCAATTCGGCGTGCCCAGGGATGCTTCTGGCAGCGATTCGCTGTTTCGTCGTTGTGGCTCGCCGTATGGTAAGTAACCGCCGCGCTCGCGGCTCGGGCCGAGGTTTTGCCACGGCGCCAGGCCGCCGTCAAAGTGTGGATTCGGTTGCTGCCCGATCGATCATGTACAGTCGGGCCGATGCGTGGTGCCCGTTGGATGCGTTTCGGGTATAGCCAGGACCCCGGGTAAGGGGACCCGGTTAGTGGTGGGGCCTTGGAGCCCCTCAATTGGCCAGGTTCACTAAACCAGGTTAGCCGTAACCGGTGTGTTGCGGATGACGGCAGTTGCGGTTAGTGGAAATGGGACGGGGGGGCGCCCCCGGTACAAATCACTAGACCGGGTTCCCTAAACCCATTTCTGCCAACGCCCGAGAGTTGTGCGACCGCAATTTGCAATTTCCGCAGCGCCGACTGTGCCACGTCCCATGGTTTGCCTCCAAGACGCTTGCAACCACAGCCAGCGGGCAACCGAGCCAAGCAGCGTGGAAATGTTTCACAGCGGGCAGCCCTCGTGCGGCGCTGTTTGAGTGAGTTCGGCTCTGGCAGAACATATCGTCACGCATTGCAAGATGATACGAGCTGTTGTGTGATAGGCTTACGCTATGTAAGATATGATGTTGAGGGCATGATGGTTTGCGCGTGTGTGTAATTCAGGTTGTGCAGGCCTCCTTTCTCGCTGCCCTCATCCGTCCGCCTCCTCCCTTCCGCTTCCCCTCATAGACAGCATTTGGAGGTTCCTGCCGCCACTGCGCAGCGTCAACGCAGCGCCCGACAATTTGATCGACAGCCTTCCGTTAGTCGAGTACGATCCTCACCTGTTCGACGACAGCGGCAACCGAGGCTTTACCAGCGTAGACGGAGGAGGAGGAGGAGGAGGAGGAGAACGGAAGAGGATGAGGACGAGACGATGAGGAGGAGGTGGAGGTGGGGGAGACGAGGAGGAGGAGGAGGAGGAGGAGGAGGAAGAGGAGGAGGAGGTAGGACGACGACAACGACGAGGTGGGAGCAACAGGTTGGCATATTGCGGATGTGGGCTAGCTAGTGGATGCAGGTCCACAGTTGAGGAAGGAGCAGGAGGCGGAGGAGGAGGAGGTGAAGGTCAGTATGATGAGAAGAATATCAGGGCAATCAAAAACGATGTCGCAGAGAGCAAGAGCCAATAGGGAGAAGCCTTCGAGGGCCAGATGCCGAAGGATGGTCCATAGCAGTACCTGTAGGACGGGGGGTATGATCACGATTGGGAATCATGATCCTCCTCCCCCTCCTCCTCTTCCTCCTCCACTTCATGTTACTCCTCCTGCTCCATCTCTTCCTCTCCCCTCCCTCACGGCCACACAGAAGGGTGGAGTTGGTGGGTCGGGGGGGGGGGCGGAAGGACAGACATCGGGGAAAAGTGGGCATGGGCGGGGGGCTTAAGACGGGCTTCACGCGCCAGTGAAACAGTCAGGAAGGCAGGGATCACAGACGTCCTGCGCTTCCCAACAAAAACAGAACTGCCTGCGGTGACGCCTCTGTTTTTCTTCCAAAGCGTTCGTGCACCTGGCCCTGTCCTCGAGGCAGGCCCGTACAACCGTAAGAGGCTAATCAATGCAGAGTGGTAAGACAGATCGAAGAGCGAGTTTCTGCGACTTTCTCGGGCTCGCAGAGGAGCTGCGCTGGATCACACATAGAATCGCGTTTCAAATCTTGTGCAGCGCGGGGTGCAAGCTCGGGACACTTGGTGGACCAGCTCCATGCGCCGTCACCATTCTCGAAGTTTCCCGTCCATGTCATCATGATGTCACGCCACGTCCACCCCTCTGCACCGTCGTCATCCTGATCCATGTAGTCCTTGCTCTCACCGATCTGGCTGTGTAAAAGCTGGCTACCCCGTGCGAGCCCGAAGATTTCGAAGTGAAAGTAGGTAGCAGAACCCCATGGCGAAGAAGTCCTTAACGTATCCGCTACACATGCTTGTTTTTGATGCCACCCGGTTTGCGGCTTTGCGATCGATGAGAGGACGAATCGTAATACATGTGATAGTCATCTTCCGCCGCTCTCATCATCCAGATTCTTATCATACAGTTCCTCATCATGCTGGTTTCCTCTTGTTGCGGCTCGGTGCCCTCCTCCCCGACATTTCTGATCCTTCTCGTCCGCCTCCTTCTCATTTGAAGGTATTTACCACTTCACATGATTCGCTCCCTCTAGCCCCGTCGACAAATCGGAAAATGTATCTCTCCTGGCTCTCGCTCGTCATTTAGTTTCTCTTGGCCATCTCCCCTCATCACCACGTTCCAGATCCTGCCGCTCATCATGCTGCCTGTCGTCGCCCAACGCGTCTCACGCTCGCGTTACCTTTCCACATCTAGCCCTCGTCGACGTCCTCCTCCGTTTCTTCTTCCCCATGCCCGTCCCATTCTCATGTGTCACACCTTCGACAGTCCCATCCTGCTCCGCACCCACCTGGTTTGAGCAGCAAAGGGACCGGCGTGCGCCATAGGGCTGCATTCTGGGCTCGGCTCCGGGCGATGCCGGACACCGCGGGTGGTTTGTCGTGTACCGAGTGGGCTTTCATTCTGGGTTGCCCCCGTCTCCCCTCCACCTCGCAAGGAGGATGAGGAGGGGGAGGAGGAGGAGGAGGAGGAGGAGGAGGAGGAGGAGGAGGAGGAGGGAGGAGGAGAGAGGAGGAGGGAGGAGGCGGAGGCGAAGGAGGCGGAGGAGGCGGAGGAGGAGGAAGAGGAGGGCGTTTTTCGTGCAGTGACCGCCTCCCTCCTTCCCCGTCACCATACTCCTGCTCCTCTTCTCTTCCCTCTCTCTCCTTCCCTCCTTTTCTGTCGTCCCGTCCCTCTCCTTCCCCATCCCCCCTGTCTGCCCCTTTTTTCTTTTCACCCCTCAACCCGCACACCTCTCACCGCGTTTCCCTGCTCGCTATTGTCCTCCCTCTCCCCCTCTCTATCTTCTCGTTCTAATCCCACCAGCCGATTGGGCTTGAGTGGTTTAGAGCGCTTTCTGTTCCCCATTTCTTCCCCTTCGGGGATGGTTCACCCCTCCCCTACCCCCTACCCCTAGACCTGGACGGGGAGGGTTCGCGACCCATTAGAGCGTCCAAGAAGGCCTCGTCGAGAATGCACACACCATTGATGTTACTCAGGTTTGGGCCACATGTCGGCCTCCTTTAGGGGGGAGGGTTCTAGTTTCCCCCCCCGTCGTTGATCGATCTTATCCACGATGGGCCCATGATGGCCCCCGAGGCTCCAAAGAGAGCTCCAAGAGAGCCCCAAGCGGTGCCAAAGCTGCCCCCAACGGCCCACAAGAGGCTCCCGAGAGACTTCCTAGAGGCCCCAAGATGCTCCCCTGAGGCACCCAAGACGCTCCGAGAGGCCCCCGAGGCCGCCAAAAGGCCCCCAAGACGCCCAAGAGACATCCGAAGAAACTCTGAGAGGCATCCACCAGGAGGCATTAGGCCTTTCTGCTCGCCCTCCTCCTCCTCCTCCTCCTCGTCCTCCTCTTCCTCATCCGCCTATTCCTCCTCTTCCCCCCTCCCCCTCCCCGTCTCCCTACTCCTCGTCCTCCGATTATTTCTCCATCCACCTTCTCTAGGGGTGCCATGCTCCCTCACATCCCTGATCAGAGCATCTCGTCTGGGCGGCGTGCCTGGATGAGCTGGTGGTACCCTCTGTCTTATATTCCCCCCGTCTTCCTCCGAGGCACGTACCCTGCCTCGTGCGCGATCTGCCTCGACACGTTCGCCGAGAGCGAGGGCATCACGAGGGTGCCGTGCGGCGCCAGAAGTGGGCTCCTCGGACGCATGGGAGGAGGGTGATGGGAGGAGGAGGACGAGGAGGACAAGGAGGATCTTCTTACGGACTCACCTGGCCCTCCTCCCCCGTCCTCCCTCCTATGCATATGATTCCTCTTGCTTCTCCCTCCTCCTCCTGTCTCCTCGTCGTCCTCTTTGGCCGAGAGGGAGTAGAGGAGACAGAGGGATGGCGATTGTTTGGCGGCCCCAGGGGTTCTCCAGTTCTTCCAGGTTCAAGTATTTGCGTCCTTCCTTTCGCTTCCCGGTTCCTTCCCCTCGCTCCTCTTTCTTCTCTTCGTTCTCTCCCAGCGTTCCCCGTCCCCGTAAGTGAGGGAAGCGGAGAGGAACCAGGGAGAGAAGCGTGAATAGGCAGGGCCAGATGAAAGTGATCAGGCTCGGGATTGCGCACGGACTATGCCCATAGGCAGTCCATATTGGTATCGACACGCACCGCAGGTAATTAGCCCAGGGCCATCTCATAATCAGCTCTCAGGCGCTGAGCGCCGCGGGGAAGTTGAGTCCGAAAGAGGAGGAGGCGGGAGGTGGGGGGAGGGAGGATTTGGGAGTTTTTCTGTTGGGACTGCTCCAAAGTGGAGCTCTGGCGGGTCCTCCTACTTCAACCTGGCCGCCTCCTGATCTTGCTCCTGCTCCTCCCTGATACTGGTGCTGGTCCTTCCTGTTCCTGCTCCTCAACCTTATCGTCCATCCCTCATGCACCTGCTCATGCCGTTCCCGTTTCCGTTCCCTCGCCGTCCCTGCGTCTTTCCTCTCAGAGGTCGGCCTGGCCAGCCGCAGCAATTTGTTACGCGCACTCCGCCCGGGTGTCGTCATCTCCCAGTGTTGCCGGCGACACCGGCAAGAGGCGATCCTCCGAGGAAGAAGAGAGGTAAGTGGCAATGGCGAGCGAAGGGAATGTGGAGGAGCAGGGTGAGGATGGAGGAGAAGGAGGCGGAATGATCAAAACGACACTGTTCGGGTTTGGGGAGGATGCGGTCGGGAGATATGATCTGGCAGCCCGCATCATCGAGCATGCTGATTGGAAGCTTGGGGGTGAGACAGCAGTGGCATGGGGAGCCCCCCGCCGGGACATCGGGTTCGGTGTCGTGTTCGAGTCGTGTCGTGCGGGCGAGGCGAAGTTGCGTGGGCGCGCGACAGGACAGAATGCCGCCGTGGCTACACCTTAGGCGATGCTGAAGAAAACTTGAGTTTTCGGCCAGAGTCTCGATTACTCTTAACGCTTCAATGTAAGTCCTAAGATTTTCGTAGAACATTCGGGGTTTTTAGTCAAATTCTGAGACTGTGAATTTCTTAACCCATGATGTCTCAAGCATTTCGCAGGGTGTAGGGGCCTCGGAGCCGTTTGACCAACCCGCCCTTGGGCGAGCGGTGGCCCCGGGGTGCCCCCCGCCCGCGGTGCGGGGGTGCCCCGTCGGTGGTGCGGAGGTGCCCCGTCGGTGGCGGGGGGGGCCCGTTGGTGGCGCGATAGTGAGATCGGTAGTGACACCGATGATGAGGTCGATAGTGAGATCGATCGTGAGGTCAATAGTGAGATCAGTAGTGGGATCAGTGGTGAGATCGATGCTGAGATCGATCGTGAGACCGATTGTGAGATCGATAGTCAAATCGGTCGTGAGGCCGATTGTGAGACCGATAGTGAGATCGATAGCGAGATCGGCGTGAGTTCGATAGGCATCATCGGTCATCGTCGCTGTCTTGTCGCCATCAAAGTCATCGAAGTTGTCGCCAGTTGAATTCCCTTCCCCCCAGACCTCCTGATCACCCGAAGGTTGGTCGTATAGGTAGTGCTTATCGCAGTTGTACCCTGTATCTTCCCAACCCCTTCCTCTCAACACGATAGTCGTCTCTCTCGAATGAGAATTGCCCGACACGATTGCCTGACATTCGATATTGCAACGAGTCGTCCGCATATCTGGTCAGTTTGAGGTACATGGCATCCGTCGAATACACGTCGAGTACACGCCGAGCGTGGGTCCGACGAAACTGTGGACATTTGTGGAGTCCCAGCCCTCTGTCTCTCTCCCTCTCCTCCCTGTTTGGTGCGTTCACACAGGTTGCTCTGCTGTTTTCTTCCTCTTCTCATCTTCCTGTTCTTGCCCACCTCGGTGTTATGGACCTTCGGGGGCCCTCCTCGTGCCACGGCCGAGTCCAGCTCGCAAAGCTCGTGCGGTCGGACCCCAGGAGCGGTCTTAGAATTTGAGCACGCTGGCAGTGAAGGGGAAGGGGACAGGTGGTTCCCGCGTGTGCTGGGCCACGCCAGACCCTGTGTAGACCCCATGCGGAACCCAGGGGCCCAGGGGCCATTCATTGATTTGGTTTCAGGCCAGACGGCGACACGCGATGCATTGTGCCAGGGTGGGTGGTGGATCAGAGTCGAGGTTCGGGCCATTGCCTCGAGGATGAGGTAGCACGCAGGGTGTCCCTGAAATACCAGCGCTTCATGGGCTTGCCATTCAGACGAGAGCGTTGGTCCAACAGGGGAGTGCCCGCCGCGCCTGCAAGTCTTGACGCGTGAGGTTGCGGGGCGCATTGCCGCGAGGAAGCGCCAGGCAGTCCCAGGGGCGCACCTGCCCTGGCCGATGACGCCCGCCGCCACGCGCACGACGGTCCCCTGGGCGCCAGCACTGCATCGGAGAAGCGCCCGGTGGATTTCTGCCCCTCGGCGCCAGAGGTCTTCTGCGGGCGAAGAGCGGTATAGCATAAACCGTTTCGCTGTCGGGGGCGCCCGCCCCAGGGCGGCCGGAAAGTTTATGCCCCTACGGGGCTAAGCGGGGGTATACCTTTTCCAGTCGCGGGGGGGGGGGCTGGCGTCCCCGACGGCGAAACACTTGATTCGATACCGTCCTTCACCCAGAAGCCCCGAGCCTGGCATCGCTCGGGCGCGTGCACTTTTTTCTCGGCGAGGACGCTTGAGGACCATCCTGGACCATCGAGCGAACAAAAAGCACGCACGAATCCAAAACATGCCCGGGAGATGGACGTCCGAGCGGTGGCGAGCCGAGCCGGAGGTGCTCGCCTTTTGCCCTCCTGGGCGCGGCGGCCCCGTCGGGTCCCAATGCACCCCGCTCGAAGGCTGCGGGAGTGTGGTGCTACTAGTACTAACTACTACTACTACTACTACTACTACTACTACTACTACTACTACTACTACTACTACTACTACTACTACTACTACTACTACTACTACTACTACTACTACTACTACTACTACTACTACTACTACTACTACTACTACTACTACTACTACTACTACTACTACTACTACTACTACTACTACTACTACTACTACTACTACTACTACTACTACTACTACTACTACTACTACTACTACTACTACTACTACGCGTGCGGGCGTGGGGTGTGCCGCAGAGTTTTTGCGAGAGATTGCGCTGATCAGGATCCACTCCCACTTTCGGAGCTAGGTGCCAGGATGCAAGCCGTGGGAGGTTTAATTCAGCACCAGTGCTGGTGCGTTCGCGGTCGGAGACCTACGTGGTCTGGCATACCCCGGCCCATCCCCCGTTTAGTCGGTTTTGTTTGGCTCAATCATGGGCCGAATCCCGCTTAGTGGCCACCAAACATGATTCAGGAGCGCTTTATTTTCTTACCAAGATTGCCGTGGAAGCCTCGCACACCCGGGTGGGGATCTCTCTGTCGCAAGTTGTCGGGCCCAGCTCCCCCGAGGCGCCGCCAGACGTCTTGGCTCGGGCCTGTCCAGGTTTCGGGGGCTCGCGGCAGTGCGGGGAGCCACTGCGGCGGGCGCGATGGCCGAGCGCACATCGGGCTGCCCTGCCGTGCGCCGCTGATCGAGGAAGGGCGGCGGCATAGGTAGGGGGCCACATGCGAACCCTACCCCTACCCCCCACGATTTCTGAGGGGGAGGGTGGGGTTCACTTCATTCGGGAGCTCCCGAGCGAAGCGAACCCCACCCTCCCCCTCAGAAATCGTGGGGGGTAGGGGTCGGGTTCGCATGTGGCCCCCTAATAAGGATATACTCTTGGGGGTCCTCGCGGATCTCTTGGGTCGGCGCCTGGAAGTCGTGGCGGCGCCTCCCCCACCGCTCTTTGGCGCGCCCTTGGCGCGCCAGGGAGGGGAGTACAGCGCCGACCAAAGAATCCGGTTCGGACCTCCAGAATTCGGTGGTGGACAGACCTCCTACCGTGACACGTCGATTAAGGACTCGGCCGTTTGCGGTTCGCGAGAGGGCGTCGCGGCCGTCATTTCTGCGGGTCCAGGTCCGTCGGTTTCGGCCCTGGGCCGTTTTCACTAAGGGGAGGTGTGCTAAAGGGAGGCTTGTCCACCGCCGAAAAATACATAGCACCCCGCCACTGTGGATGAGAGTGAGGGGCGGCGGGGTCGTCGGCAGTTGGCGAAGTTGCGAGGAAGCCCGCCGCAGTCGTCCTGCTGAACACGTTACACAGCGATCCCGCCGAAGGCGCCGATGTGTTCCTGAACAGTGTTTGCACTTGGGGGTCTGCGTCAGGATTGGGGTCGAGTGGGTCACCCTCTGGCACGGAGCAGACTCCACGCACCTCGCTTGGATGACTCACGACGGCCGCCCTGCCAGCAGCTGCGGCGGTGGCAGCGCCGCCAGGGCGGTGCGGCGCGCAGGCTGGTGAGACACTGGGACGTGGAAGCGACACCGGCCAGGCGCCTCCCGATCCCTCTGGTTGGCGCTCGGTTCCCTACCAGGCTGCCGAATGGTCCACCTGGAATGGAGGCGGCACGGGCGGCTCGGGAGACAGTCGTCCCACTGGCGCAGCGGCCCAGCTGAGAGAGGTCACGGCTGGGGGAGCGGCCATTCCCACCGCCCCGACTGGAGTGACCCTTATGACAGCCTCTACTTGGTGCCCCGGCGTGGCGTTCGCTGGATGCCGCAATGGGACCACGGAGAGAATCTCCTGGAGTTCTCGCCGGAACTCATCCATCGCCTCCGGGTCACCTGCGGGAGGATGGTCGTGGAATGCCGGAACCGAGCGCGCGATAGGCGAGACGGCGAGGCACGGGGCAGGGGTCGCTACAATCCCAGCGATGTCTGCAAGCAGCTTCTCTCTGATTCATGCGCCTGCTACTGCAACGTACAGGCGCATTGTCGGCCGTGGCACATCGACGCCGATCGGGGCGAAGCGTGGCGACAGCAGCAGGAGCGGCTGGCGCACGCAGCGGGAGGGGAAGGCCAAGGAGGCAAGCGTTCCAGCGGAGCCTCCTGGCCAGCTGGGGACCAGTCCCGCACGCGGGGGCTCCAGGGCGCGGGCGTACCCGCCTCTGCGCGACAGGCTGGATGCTGGCTGGACGGCACGCGTCGCGCACTGGACCCGGCCCTCCGCCGGCGCCTGGCCCCAAGGCGGCACCCGCTTGACCGACGAGCCGTGCCTGGCAGCGCCTCTCTGGGCGCTCGTGACCACTTCGCAGGAGGCTCGCTCCCCCAGGTGGGCCCTCTGACCTTTCCCGTTCGCGCACCGATCAGGTGCCTCCTCCCGCGCGCCCGCCCCCACCCCCCCCCACAGGTGGCGCGCCCTCCCCCCCCATCTCCACTGGGTGCGTCGACTCACCCTGGTGGGCTCTCCCGCTGCCCAGCGTGTTCCGACTGAAACGCCACTCCCCCCGGTGTGTCTTTCTGCATCGGGAAGTCAGTGTTGCGCTTTGCCCAGCGCCTCGCACGCCCGTCGTCGCTCTGGCCAGCAGAGCTTGGCCCGCTATCAGCAAGCCAACTAGCTCTCTGTACTCCGCGCCGCGGACTACCCGCGCACGTCGTTGGGACCCTTTTGGGGCGACCAGGGCGCGTCGAGGGGACTCCGTGCTGCGCTGCGCCCGCGGCCATGGACATTGGAGTGCACGAGCAACGAGGGAGGGATAAAAAGGGAATGCAGCGGGCGCGATCCTCGTGAAGGGCGTGCCGACAAAACCGTCGCGGCGCGTGGGCGTTGACATCTGGGGATTGGGGAAGCTCTCCGCGGCGGCCACGTGCAGTGCCGCGAGTATTCAGAGTCGGTCATATTCAACTCATTCCCATCCATGTGCATCCACACTTGGTTTAGGCATGCTCGCACCCATGCACATCAGTTCGCTTGCGCGCAGACGCATTCACAATCAGACTCACTCGCGCTCAGGCTCACTCGCGCTCAGTCTTTCGTGATCATGCCCATATTCTTCGCTCGCGTCGTGTACCCCGCCGCACATTTGGCGCACCCTTCACACGGCTCGTGGCCCCTTACGGAACGCCAGCGAAGACGAGATATGTACAACTGCGGTATTCTCAGTTGCACATGGTTGGGCCACTCGTCAGACGAACTGTTGGTTGTAGAAACAGGTATTGAGGGACCCAGAAGGTGCAATTACATTGAAGAGTACAACAATCACCGGAGATACGGGATCGAATCTTCTTTTAACGCTCAAAATTCACCACCACCACCACCAGCAAAAGTAGAGGCAATGCCCACACCAACACCAGCATGAGCTACAACAACACCAGCATCGACAACCTGCACCGCGGAACCCCACTCCACCCACGCGCCCAAATGACAGTGAATGACCGCTCGATTCCCTCACTCCCTCTGGCTCGTATCGGGCGTATGCAGCGCCGTCTCCTCCCAAGCGGGGCAGCAGTTTCGAGCACAGCGGGTGGCCGAGCGGCCGCCGAGGCCCCAGGCCTCCCGGCGTCGCGACGCGGATCGCAACGGCGAGATGTCCCACCGTTACGGTCTCGCGAGGCCTTCTTCGGTCCCGTGGCTGACAACAAAGACTGCCCGCGACGAGCTTTGGTCCCAGAGGGGTCATTCCACGGCACCGCTGAGCACAAATAGCACGACGTCGGAGGCCTGGGAAAGGGCGTGATGGAGCCCCCGACGGACCTCGCCTCAGACGAGGTGTACACCGGAGTCATCAAGTCGTATAATGACCGGCGGGGCTTCGGCTTCATCGCTTGCCAAGAGACGGCGATTAGATTTGGCCGCGACGTGTACGTGTCGAAGACGGAGGCGCAGCTGGCAGCAGCCGAGGCCGCCGGGGACAGCGCGGCGATCGCCCAGATCCTCGCGGCCGCACAGGAGAAGGCCGAGAAGAAGGAGGAGGCTTCCGCCGGCACAGCCGGAGAGGCAGGGGGCGGCAGTGCGCCCCCTGCCGAGAAGCCACCGCCACTGCCCCGACTGTCTGAAGAAGACCTCGTCCATTTCCAGGTTAGGAGGCCACATGCGAACCCGACCCCACCACCCCACGACCTCGAAGGGGGGAGGTGGGGCTCATTATTCGCTGTGGAGCGAAGGGAGCCCCACCTCCCCCCTTTGAAACTCGTGGGGTGGTGGGGTCGGGTTCGCATGTGGCCTCCTACAGGTGCGGCTCAGTCTCGAGGGCTTCCCGCAGGCCACCGCAGTGCAGAAGCTGAGGAAGTTCGAGGGTGCAGTGAGGGCGCCGCCTGCAGTCGAGGGCGGCTGCGCAGGCCGCATCGCCAGCCCAGGCCTGGCGGCGCTCACCGGCGAGGAGGAGCTCGACGTGTTTCAGGAGGGCTGTGGGCAGGTGCGCCTGGAAGCCGGCGACAGGGTCTCCTTTTGCGTCAAGGGTTTGCTGGAAGGCAGACCGGCTGAAGCCGGGGACAGGACCGCCGCAATCGTGTCTCTCATTGCGACGGAGCGGCCCGCCAACTCCGTCCTGGGGTGTTTCGGGCTGCTGCTGCCGCGACCGCCGGTCGTGGAGGGGCAGCCGTCGACGGACGACCTGAGGCTGTTCTGCCACGCGTTCGGCGACAAGATCATCCTCGCCGGGCTGCCACCCGACACCCAGGAGTCGGAGCTCTCGAGGTTCTTTGCCAAGCAGGGCGCGTCCAGCATCATCGTCGCGCACGCCAAGGGCTGCAGCTTCGCGTCCGTGTCCTTCCCAAGCGTCTTCGAGGTGGCGCGCTTGCTGGGTCGCATGGCGCACGCGTTCGCAGACGACAAGGATACCCGCATCGCGACGCTGCTGTCCCAGGCCGAGGCCGAAACAATGGAGGCGTCGACGTCGGGGCGGCTTCCTGCGTTGCCAGCGCCCCTGCTGGGCAACGGAGAGGAGCCTGGCTCGTTGGTGGTCGTGTGGTCTCCGCTGGTTTTGGCTGTTGGCTACACGGTGGAGCTGCGGCCCACGGGAGGCGGCCATCCTTGGGCCGCAGTGGACGTGGCGGCAGGCGTCATCGGCTCGGGTACGAGCCGCTTCGACCCCGAATGCTCTTCGTGCAAGGTGACCGGCCTCAGATTGATTGCCTCCTCCGAATCCCCTTTCGCGTGTTTTTTCTGTTCGGATGGACCCGATGATTATAATATGTCGTTTCGTGGGCCAAGGAGCCAGGGAGTTCGGCGAAGGCATTTGGTCCAAGGACGCTCCAGCGTCCCACATGTTGGGAAGTTGGGGCGTCTGTACACCTAGTGTTTTCGCCGACCAGAAAGCTTGTTTCCCGAGCCAATCCAATATTTTCTCAACGTGCTCGTCCTCGACCTGCTCTCTCCTCTTGTTCTCTTCCCGTTCGCGCAAGGTGACGGGCCTCATCGAGGGCACCATGTACGAGGCGGATGAGGAGGAGAAGGAGGAGGAGGATGAAGATTTGGAGGAGCGGGTATCTTACAGTGGGTGCACGTGTGAAGAAGCCAGGGAGCGCTTTCAGTTTGGATACCCTGGGCTCCCTCTGTCCGAAGAGGCCTGCAGTGAGAACAGAAGGTCCCCCAGACCCTGAACTCACAGAGGCACGGGGGTTCAGCGTGCGGGTTCCTCAGATCCTCTCAGAACCCATCCTCGGAACAGGGGCCACCTTGGCCCGCTTCCGAGCCGCGGTCGCCAGGTGGACCCTGGAGCCCCAGGCCCCTCTCCTAGGACCGATCTTCGCTTCGCTTGCGTGGCCCCTCTCCCTTCCTTGGCGGCATTTTCTCGGGGGCCCCAAAAACGGGGTGGTGACCACACCGTGTGCTGAGTCGGTTGGGATTCGGGGTCACCCCACGGTTTTGGGACTCGAGGCCCTCTCCGAGGACGTCCCGGGCGACAGGGGCCTCTGGGGTCCCAAGACCGTGCGGTGACGGACCATGCGGTGAGGTCTTGGAGATCTCCTGCCCCTGCTGCCGCACAACGCCCGCGTGGTGTACGTCACCTCCCGTGGGCGACGTGCCTCCTATTCCCACTCGGGACGCCACGGGGCCCAGGACCCCCTCCCCGGGCGCCATGTGGGCCCGCCCTCGGAGCTGCGCCCAGCCCCCGCCACGCGGGCCACGCCGAGGGCCTGTCCCCCCTCCCCCCCCCCCCACGCGCCCTCCCCCCCGAGACATGCGGCGCCCTGGTGGTTTCAAGAGGCCGTCCGGAGCTGGCCTTTCCTCCTGAGCCGTGTTTTGCCAGTGGTTTGCCGGTCCCGGGGCCCGGCGAAGCCCCCGGAAACCGGAAATCTAGGCCTCCTGGATGGGGTCGGAGGATCGCGCCGCATCGCCGATGCATCGACGATGCGGCTCGATGCCGGGCCCGATGTTCTCCACGCCGACGTCGCCGAGGCGTCGCCGACTTCGGCGACGCACCGCCGAGGCATCGCCGATGCACTCGCGATGCGGCCCGATCCTCCGAGCACCTCTGCTCGGAGCCCCCCTCGAAGGCCTCTCTGAAGACGGCCAACAGACCCTCCACGTCTCGAGCAGCTCGGGCCCCCCCGCCGCCTTCTGAGAAGGCCTCCTCCTCCTCCTCCTCCTCCTCCTCCTCCTCCTCCTCCTCTTCCTCCTCCTCCTCCTCCTCGTCCTCCTCCTCCTCCCCCTTTTCCTCCTCCTCCTCCTCCTCATCCTCCTCCTCATCCTCCTCATCCTCCTCGCCTCCTCCTCGCTCGTCGCCGCCCGAGCCCTGCGGATCCGAGGCCCGCGTGATGTACTTCGCCTCCTCCGGCTGCCGCGCCGAGGCGTCCGACCCCTCCGCGCCGCGCGCGCCGCTGGCCGAGGGGGCGGCCCCGCCGGCGGAGGCGCCAGCGGCGCCAGCCGCGTCGGGCGAGATGGACCCCGACGCGCCGCCCTTCGGCCCCGCGCAGCTGGACGGAGCCCGGGGCGCAGAGCAGGAAAGGGCATCCCAGGACTCAAGCAGTGGCGAAGCGTCCTGGCGTGCCTACAGCCCTACAAACAATGTTCTTAGACCTGTCGTTGTGGCTTCCACGACATGTTTTTAGAGCATGTATGGCGGAGTCTGTCTTGTTACACATCGGGTGTATGTTCTAAGAGCATTGTTTTGTTATTTCGAACATGTTTGGGTTCTAAGAACATTTCGTGGTAGGACTATAGGCGTGCCAGGACGGTCGGTCCCTGCTCAAAGGACCTGGGGTCATGGAGTCTGATTTTATTTCGAACCGGGCGGTTTCGCCTTCTCCCGTCCTCCCGCTTCCTCCCCTCTTCGCTCCTTCCTGCTGCCCGCCCTCTTGCTCCTCCCTGCTTCCCTTCGCCACCCCTCCTCCCTGCCTGTCCCTGCATCCTCAGCCTCCCTCCTCGCTCCCCCCACTCTCCCCGCGAGAGGGAGGTGGGGGGCGGGAGGATCGAATGGCAGGTCCCAGCGGGGTCTCCAAGGAGCGCCGTACTGGCTGCCGCCCTGCAGCGGCGGCTCCATGTGGGCCGGCTGGGCCGCGGCCCCAGCACGCCTCAGGAGGAGCAGGAGCAGCGGGGGGGACCGGAGAAGGAGGAGGTGGAGGAGGAGGAGGAGAAGGCGAGGAGGATGAGTAGGAGGAACAGTTGGGGGGAGGGGTTGCGTCCCCCCCTTCCTCCCCGTTATCCCTTTCAATTCCTCCTTGTTGGACTTACCGGTCCAGCTTTCGCGCCGAAGATTGCCAGAGAACGCCGAGGACTGTCGAAGACCGCCAGAAGACTGCCGAGGGATCACGACCAGCGCCTCGCGCCTGTACTCATGATGCTGCGCCAGAGAGGCAGCCCAGGGACGTCGCTGCGGGGCTTCAACCTGACCATGCTGAGTCGCTTCCTAATGCGGGCGGCGACCGCCTTGGGCATCAACCACCTGCGCCCCCATCTGCGCGGGATGAGGCACGGCGGCGTCAGCGACGACCTCCTGGCGCACAGGGGGGCCTTGGAGCAGGCGTTCCGCAGGGGGCGATGGGCAGTTATGTCGTCGTCGATGCGCCGTTACGCGAAGGAGACTGCGCTCTGTTGCGCACTCCATGGCGTAGCGACGGACGTTTTCGAGCTGGGCGGCTTGGTGGGGCAGGACTTTTGCGTGATGCCCATGAAGGGCTTCAGCGGCGCCAGACTCCTGTCCCTGGCGCCCCCGCGGCTCGCGGCGGCCATGCAGGCCAGCCCCGACACCCATCGTCAAGAGGAACCGCGGCGTCCCGCTGCGTATGCGCGAGGAGCGCCGTGGCCGTTCGCCCAGAGGCAGGCGACGAAGGTGCCGCGGCGCGCGCCCACCTTTCGCGTCGGTACAAACGTGCCGTCAGACGTGGGTCGCTTTGCAGGAGGCAGGTTGCACTCGAGCTCGTCTTCGGCCCAGAGCATCTCGCGGCGGCCGCCAGGCGCCTTGGCCTCTCCGCGTTGGGTCTCGACCCCATCCATTTCCCGCTGGAGGAGCACGCGCGCTTGGTGTTCGAGGAGGTGATTACTGGTTGGCTGCTGAGCCGCGCGGTGGGTGCGGTTTCCTTCGGGACATACTGCGCGACCCGGTCGCGCGCTCTCCGGCAGCCGCCGCGGTCGCGCGATCATCCGATGGGAGTGAGCCGCCTGTCGCCTTCAGAGCTTGCCCGCATGCGGGTGGGCAGTGTCGCCTTTTTTTTATTTTCCTCCTCGCATCATTCGCAATTGCTCGACGCTAGACTTTCCTGCGATGCCAGAGAATCCAGTGGGTGTCTTTTACATGGTGCCGGCAGCGCGTTCGCCGTCCCGTTGCGCTCTAGCAAATTTCGCGTTTGTGATTGTGACCAGTGCCAGTTTTGGTACCCCGTGGCGCAAGCGGAGTAGAGTAGTCTCATGGTGCGCTGGCCCTGTAGACAGCCTGTGCCTACGGTGCTGCGGCCACCGCGGCGTCTGCTCGCGCGGGGGAAACAAGCGCGTGATTTTATTTGGCCCGAGTCCGCTGAATGTAAGCATGCCGTCCTCGCCGCTGCCTTTCCTGTGCGCCTGGCCAACGCCCTAGGTCAAGTCATCAAACACCTTGTCATATCCCGCCCTGGGCTGGCCATGGCATCGCATGCGTGCAAATGATCCGCTGGCCGCTCATTCAGTCTCTGCGCAGCCCCGATCGAGCGGCGCTAAAAAACTAACGCGGCTGATGGGGGAAGGCGACCTGGGGCAAGTCCTGAACATTTGCGCCCAAGGGCGGCTGGCATGTTCGGAAATTGTCCGTGCTTGGCCCGGCCTGCCAGGACTTCCTTATGGGGTATGGGGCTTCATGTGTGCCTGGCCCTCGGTGCTCCGTCTCACTGCGTGCCCTCCACATGTCTCGAGGGCGGCGATGCTACTCGCCGCTCGTATTGGCCTGTCTTTTGCGACACACATACTGGAAACAGTGCTGCCCGTCGCTCCACAGTCGCGTCGCATCGCGTCTCTTGATGTCCAGCTCTGTTTGATTGTCAGCTCTGACACTCGTTGATGACAGGACGGGCTGTCCAGTTTGAAGGCGTGAAGCAAAGCCCTGGGTGAGAGAGTGCCGCACCTCTCGTGCCATCGCCCGTTGGCGCGTGGGCTCAAGGGCACCCATCCGCGCGCCACCCTCACTTGTTAGCCAGTTTCTTTACAGTTTTTTCGAGACCTCATTTGTCCCTGGCCCTCGCTGCTCCGTCGCACTGTATGCCCTCCGAATGTCTGGAGGGCGGCGATCTGCGTCGCTGCTCGCCTTGGCCTGTCTCGTGCGGCGCACGTGCTGAGAACAGTGCTGCCCGTCGCTCCATCGTCGCATCGCTTCTCTTGGTTTCCAGCTCCGTTTGATGGCAGGGCGGGCTATGTATATAGCGCTATTGCACGACATGGGCTGCTCCGCCTTAGGTTCCCTTCCACAAGAGTATTAGGATCGACTTTCCTTTGGGCTTATCGCATCTCTTGTTCGCTTGCAATCTGCATGCGACTATGGCCCAAGAGCCATCCCAAATCTGAGTTCGTACGATTCCAAGCAAGCCCTTTATCCACCCCCCCTGTCATCCTCTGCAAGGGAATATGATGCGCGCTTTCGCTTACCAAGGAACAGCAGTCTTGAATGACCACTCTTGCAACAGAGCAGAAAACAACAAAACGAATACATCAACGGGACGAGGTGCGCGCGCGTTGTCGCGCGCGCATGCCAGAATCTTTCAGACGACCTGTGGCCCCGTAAGGAGATCAAAACCGAACTTTCACAATTTCATAGCTTAGCAACGAGATGCTTCTTTTTTTGCCATATATATATATATATATAGCACACCAGTGCGTTCGCCCATGCGATCAATAGGAAACAGGTTCTCAAACTTTTCATAGACTGCTACCAATCGTGCCTCGCGCGCGCATGTCGAAAATGGCGCGGGCGCATTTTTGCGCGTGCTGTCGCGCAAATTCCGTGCAGAAGCTGGGGCGACGTGCGCGCGCGTCGCTGCGCGGGCGCTACGAAGACTCGAGGTGTCGCAAGGATTTTTAAGACTGAGTCGCCCGAAACATTTCAAACAACACACGATTTTGAAACATAGTTTGCACAAAAAGGGCGCGCCTATGCTCTTGCGAATCCTTCCGACATCCATCGGTTTATCAACATGGTCGCTGAATCCTGCCAGGCGGGCCTTTTGCGCCGCGCGCCGACATCGCTCGCGCGCCCTCGCGCGCGAACCGGGGGGGGCGCGACCCGTGTCAAATGAGACCATGAGGGCGCCAGGCGAGCCGCTCTCGTGCGCCGGCCGCGCGCGCGCGTCGAACTCTTTCCGGAACTTGCACCGACGCGAGGACTCTCGGTGTGATTCGCATCGGCGCCGCCATTGGCCTTGCTGTCGTCGTTGTCACCATCGTCGCCAGCATCGCTACAAATATCTCCGCGTCTACCGACGTCGGCGTTGTCATGATACCGCGCCCGCCCAAAGCGCCGACTCGCACTGAGGTGTCCGCTGGATAGTGCCACTGGTCAACGCCGCCGCGGCCGCGCTGGTCGCGCCAAACTAGCTGCCAGCTGTGCACGCGAGCACGCGCGGCCTGCGAGGATGCACCAGCCAACACCAAACGCTCATCGCCAACGCCGCCGCATGAGTTTTGCAAAATAAGATGCGGGCGGGCGGGCGGGGCGATTGCGCGAAAAGTGGAGTTGACAACCCAGCGCGAACAGTAATAGTTTGCACAACATAGGCTGCGCCACATACATTGTACCACATGTGCGTAAACATGTCTAATCTATGTTTAGATACACATACATATATATGTATAGACCTACGTGTATACATACATCTATACATATATGTATAGACGTACGTATACTTATATACATGTATATACGTAAGTGTATACACGTAATCTATGTTTAGATACACATACGTACATACATACGTACGTGTATACATACAGACATACATGTTACATTACATACGTTGCCAGCGAATTTTGCATACCGCAAATTATCTTATTCGAAAGGGGCGGAACTTACCGGACCCACTGTCGATCCTAATTCTGAAATCGCACCATCTCAGCCCAGCCGCTATCCGACCCCCCCCCCCCCCCCCGACATCTTCTGCAACAAATTCTGCGCGCGCTCGTTCATCGAACATAAACAGGCTTCACACATCCACTTCCAGAAACGAGGCGAAGTGCACGCGCGCGCGTTGTCGCGCGCGCGTGCCAACATCTTTCAACAACTAACGATTGCGTAAGGATTTCGGAGTCGAGCGACAATACAACCTATAAACAACACGTGGTGGCAAGTAAAACATTTGCGCGCGTTTGCGAATTCTTAAGAAAAATCATGATGGTTTGTTTCCCACATCCAAAGTGGGCTTCTTGATTTCTCCAGCAGGAACAAGAGAAGACACCCCTTCTTTTCCATGGCCGCACATTCATGTACCCAACCACTCACACACACATCATCACTCACACCCATTCATTCACCCACTCATTTACCTACACACGGTCACACAGACACACACGCGCCAACTCAATCACCCACACACACACATTCACACACACGCACACACATCATCATCACGCACTCACGCACCCATTCACGCGCCGACGCACCCGTGCATTCACTCAATGACAATTCTTTTCATCATCGTCCGCATCATCATAATAATCCTCATCCTCATCATCACCATCACCATTGTCAGCATCAGCAGTTTCATCATGATCTTCATCCACTCATTCACTCATTCATCTCAGGCGGGAGCACCGTATGTCAGTGAATTGCGAAGAGGTCTCAGGCGGGAACCCACTCCCTATGGGGCCCGCAGCTCATGTGAGTAATCCGGGCGGGATATCGGAATCCGGTACCCGTGGGCATTGTTTGGCTTGTTCAAGCTTGGGTATGGCGGAAGTCTCAAGCGGGATCGTCCTCCGTCAGTGAGTGGATGGCGAGGGAGTCTCAAGCGGGAGTTTCCTCATTGTGGGGCCCGCAGCTCATCTGAGTAATCCGAGGGGGTCATCAGAACCATTTAGCTCCCCACATCCAAAGTGGGGT